ACTACGAATGCAACCCTTTAAATGGTACTGGGAAATAGTTCGCGCAAAATCGTCCCAGTACTTTAGTACTGTACATTTAGTACTGGAACTAAAGCGGTGCGAAAGGCCCTAGTTATTAAAGAGGAACTCCACAGAGAGGCAGGTTTGTCCATTGTGTGATATTCTATGAGAGATATTTTAGTTGCATAGCAAATTCAGCTATTTCAGCCGCCCAAACATACTCATACTGTATATATGTACACAGCCACGATAATTTTAACAATGATATAACTTTCAATTTCACGGTTCCCAAATGTGATTGGAACCCACATTCCTATTGAAGCTCCTTCAGTCAATGAAGGAGACTCTGTTAATAAGAAGTCATATAGCATCAATGTCAGAAGTCAGAAAGAGCTTTAATACCAAGTATGTTTACACACACAAGGAATTATGTGGAAAATAATGTTTTTTGAACCTTAAACCACGTAAACACATTGCACTACACCAAATACACAAAATAATGCTCTTTTTAGCAACGCCATATGACCCCTTTAACACAAGAACCACCAGAGGTCGCTGTATACCTAAAAGCACCAGCGGGTAAATTTTACCCACGCACATGACAACTGTATTTATATGGCTAAAGAGCATATTATTTCACTGTATTATGCTACTGTCTTCACAAAGAAGTGTCTAGAGTCATGAAATTATTATGTCTAGTCATCAACTATATTTTTATCCTGTTGTTTTATGTTCAAGACTTTTTAATGCAGGCTACACTAATCCATAACGGTCAGTAGCCTAAGCTAAAAATATAAAAAGCCTGCACTGACAACGCAAATTAGAAGGTAATAGCCTAAATATTAGGGTGGTGTAATATTATAATACAATGTCATTAATCAATATATTAAGATAACCCATGCTATTTAAATTACTAAAATAACATATATAGACAATAATGAGCAATAATGATTCACCACACTGCATAGGATGATGCGATGACAAATTCAAACGCACAGCTTCACCTAAATATTTATTAATTTGTTTAGTTATATCATTTATAATTTGAATAAGAGAACAACACCATTAAACTTTGGGTAATCAAAAAATAGTTTTATTCATTACATCATATAGATCAGATTTGGTTTCTTCAGGAAACGGCCAGACTAGAATAGCAACACAGTAGCGAACAATAAACGATATGGCAAGACAAAAAATAAATAAACAAGAAGCCAATTTACATTACTACAGTTTTATTAAGAAATTTATGGAGGGGAAAAAGTAAAGACTTGTTTGTTTTAACAACATGCCCAAAAGGATCAATGTTCAATTTTGTATCATGAAAGGGTATTTAGAGTTGTATGAACCTTGCTTGTTGCATGAAGCCGGTTTTTGTTTTTACCCAGGTAAGTTCACGTTTAGTTTGAACAAACTCTGAGTTTTCAGGCTTAAGAAGGTGGGTTGGTTTTGAGCGAGTTTTGTCGCCATGGTAACCTGCGCTACACGGCTACCCTGCTCCTGAGCAGGTTTTATTCTTGGTTAGAGACCACAAACCCCGAACTGGACCAATCAGCTGTGAGCAAAGTGAAGTATATATGATGCAATTAAGCCACTCCTCCATCTCTCTCTTCAAATTAAAGTAGTTTACAGTCAAAGAATTTTAATTAGCAGTCTTTCGCTGCTAATTACTAATTACATTCATATTACATGAATGATAATGATTTCTAAATCATAATATATTCAAATAATAATTTGATGAACTGTCAATTAATATGAAACTTTGCATTTAAATTAATTTAAATATATACATATAAATAAGTTTTAGTATATACAGCTTTTAAAATGACTAAACTTATGTGTTTTCTTTTGAACACTTTGTGAAAGTATTTAAATTATTACATTTAGTTGATTTATGTGCGTAGTCATATATTTTCATTCTACTGCCTCCTCAAACTTTTGCTGCAGCAGCAGTGTTTATTCCTGCCTTGTAAATTCATTATAGGCAGCGGCTATTTGCACTAAGTGCAAATAGTGATGGATTCTATTTACACTATGGTAAAATAGCAGGATTTTCTGCTATTTATACTACTTAACATATTGAGTGTAAATTATAATTTTAATTCAAATTATTAAACGGATGCCACCTTGATGGGACAATAAAGCCCTCCCTACACCTACCCTAACCCTTCCCAAATACTTATTTTCAACTTTTTGATTATTTCCTTAATTTTTATTGAAAATAAATGCCTTTCCGATGTGATATGAGATTTGAAAAGGGAGAAAAAAAAAGTTCGGCAAAAGGCGGATTCGAACCCGGGTCGATCGCGTCAAAAAAACTTCAGTACGCGCTTTACCATCTACACCACTGGAGCTGATGACAAACAGCTGTCTTTTATAGTGTATATATGGTTCATTAACGTTTATAAGAACTATTTTAACCATTTTAATTAAAGATTTTCATTCAGCCTGTCAAATTCGTGGGTTTTAAACCCACGTTCAATGTAATCCTTTACAGTCGTGGACCGTTAATGAAATCCACTTTAACCAAATAAAGCTGAAATTTGATTTACTGGCTTTACGTTCTGGGGACAAACTGAGATGGAATAAGATGAATACTTTGACATAATGATTCAGTTTCAGTTAATAAAATAAAATCAGCAACCACAAATTTAATTTTGATTTACAAATTCTTTTGAGTTTGAAATATTCATTAGTTATTTCCAATTCTGTAATTTGAAGATCACAAATGCTCTGTAGTTTATCATGAATTGAAAGCAGTTTAGTTGCTTTCATTTAGACTTAAAACTAGATATAAAGCTCAACAGTATTATAGCTTTAGGCTTTTGATAGCTCTGCAATTCATCCCTTCAATTCATCCTTAACCTTTCTATTTATAATTGTTTTCTTCATCTCATCATGAATTTATTCTCATCATCAAACATGAAGATACTGAGGAACAAACAGGTTGGTTTTCATTCTCAAAGCTTTTCCTCTACTTGTCTTAATGACATATTCAAATATACTTTTATACTATACTAATTATTACCGTATTGGCCCGAATATAAGACGACCCTGATTATAAGACAACCCCCCTTTTTCCAGATGTACCTTTTTAAAAACCAAATCTTGTTTTTTCTCAGTAAAACACATTTTGTCTTAAATTATTTTCATATAGCATATTTTTCCTATTTTAATTTTTGTTTTGAAAGTATGGTAAAAACTGGTAAAATGTACCAACAATCACATTTTATTTCTGAAAATATCACAGTTAGGAGATTTATAGCGAGTGGTTCCCTGCATTATTACAGCAAAGCGCATTATTACAGTACTAAGCCGCTGCATTAGAGCAGCTCTAATGCGATTAAATTAAAGATGATGTACCATAGAGCAAAAAAATGAACAGTGAAAGTAACAAAAACTTGTAAAAATACATTTTAATGGGCATAATTAAGTGTGAAAATAACCGAAGGATATACAGTGAAACCAAAAATTATTTTAGACTAGGTCAGCCTGTAGTCTTTAGACTGTAGACTACAGGCTGTCATTAAGGCTAAGGGTTGCCCGACTAAGTATTGATAGTTGTGTAAATACTGTCATACTAACAGCTGTCTGAATTATTTTGGTTGATTGTAATCTATTACATACCTTTCTATCAAAATTATCTAGCATTATCAAGATTAATTTGTTCTGACACAGTTTAACTCTGAGTTCTTGTCATATTTTATTACCATTTTCTAAACTATAGCGAATGAACTGTGATAATGGGAGAAATGTTGAAGGTGTCTGAATACATTTTGGTTTGACTGTATCTATTTGATAAATGAAGTTAACCAACTAACATTATACATACCCTTTTGGTTTCTGTACCCAATATTTAAAAAATTTACAAATGCAATAAAAATATCGGTATCGGTACTCGGTATCGGCAAGTACCAAAAATAAAAGTATCGGTATCGGGCGAGTACTGGAAAAAGTGGTATCGGTGCATCCCTAGTTGTGGGTGTATTATTGACATGTCAAAGTCTAGACCCTGAAAATAAGACGACCGCGTTTTTTCAGATGTATTTCCAAGAAAAAAACATTCTTATATTCGGGTCAATGCGGTACTTGGTTAAGGTTATAATCTCTTCTAGAGATTTTTTTTTCTTTTTCTTTTTCTAGCTGACAGCAAGTCGAATCAGAATGTCAGTTTCGTTTTTCTTTTCTTTTCTTTTTTTAAGTCTGTGTAAAGGCAATTCAGAGAATTGTTTCTAAACGCATTATAAATGTTAGAAATGTATTGTTGAAAACACGTTACAAAGACTGTGAACTATGTACTGCAGAATTGTGATGTTAGACAAACCGTTTATCACTGTTTTTTGTGTTCAGGATTTTTTGGGTGGGCCTGAAATAATGTCTCGATGACGCACTGGAGCCACTGAGCATGGCCCCTCACCTAACACTAAGGGTGCTTTCACACTAGCACTTTTGGTGCGCACCCGGGTTCGATTGACGTCAGAGTTCGGTACGTTTGGATGATGTGAACGCTGTCTTCCGAACTCGGGTGCGCACCCGCGAACCGTACCCGAGTCCGCTTAAAAAGGGTGGTCTGGGGTACGGTTCAAGTGAACTCCGGTACGGTTCGCTGCTGATGTGAACGCAATCGTACCAAATCACGGAAGTGAACCGCTACTAATGACGTATTATTTGATAAAAATGTGTGTTTGTTTCACTCACATTCCTGACGAGCGTGAATGATGCGCTGCAAGCAGAGAGCTGTAGATCTCATTTCTGTTCACCTTCAGAGTACTTTAGAGCAGGGGTGTCCAAACTACGGCCCGCGATCGTTCCTGTGGCAGCCCGCGAGGGATTTAAAAAATAATACAAATCTGGCCCTTTATAGTGAAAAATAGATCAAATTCACTAAATAACCATCAGGTGACGCTATCACATGCAGCCAATGCAGTTAGTCAGACGTAGGCCTACATTTATGAAGGGGCTAAAAAAACAACAAATTATTGTTTATCACATTTTGCTAAGTCATGGCGCAACAAAGAAACAGGAAAATCGAAAGTGAATGCAGGAGATTTCAGACACGTTGGGGAAATGAATATTTTTTCACGGAGGTGAGCGGGAAATGTGTCTGTTTAATTTGCCAGGAGTCCGTTGGGGTGATGAAGGAATATAATGTTAAAAGACATTACGAAACAAAACATCAGTCTTTCAAATATTACACTGGTGCTGAGCGCAATCAAAAGGTGAAACAATTGGCAGCTGCCTTGTTAGCTCAACAACAATTTTTTCGTGCTAATAAAGCACAGGAAAATTCTACATTAGCTAGTTATGAGGTAGCTCACCTAATAGCGCGGCATGGAAAACCCTTCACTGAAGGCGAACTTATAAAGGAGTGTCTGATGAAAGTTGCCACAATAATTTGCCCAGAAAAGATGCAAGATTTTAAAAATATCAGTCTTTCAAGAAACACAGTCGGACGGAGAATTGAAGACTTGTCGGCAAATCTAAAAGAACAAGTGACAGACAAAGTTCCCACGTTTGATTTTTACTCAATTGCGTGCGATGACAGCACTGATTCCACAGATACTGCACAGCTGTTAATTTTTTTGCGAGGTGTGGACAGTGATTTTTGCATTTCAGAAGAGCTACTTGAAATGAAGAGCCTTAAGAGTACAACAACGGGAAAATATCTTTTTGAAGCCGTATCATGTGCGATTGAAAACATGAATCTCCCTTGGGCCAAGCTCTGTGGCATTACAACCGATGGAGCATCAGCCATGATCGGCGAGCAGAATGGAATGGCTTCCATGGTATGCAACAAAGTTTGCGAAAGTGGAGGTGAGGCTGTGAAAATGCACTGTATCATACACCAGGAAGCGCTCTGTGCCAAAGCCATCCAGATGGATGACGTGATGACCACTGTGGTAAAAACTATAAACTTGATTCGTTCAAGAGCGCTCAACCACAGAGAATTCCGGGCATTTCTGTCTGATATTGATGCAGAATATGGCGACGTAATATATCACTCTAACGTGCGATGGCTGAGTCGTGGCTCTGCTCTACAGTGGTTCTATTCGCTGCGGTCTGAAATTGACCAGTTTTTGAAAGAAAAAAATCTGACACTTGATCAACTCAATGACCCTGACTGGCTGGCAGACCTTGCTTTTTTAGTTGATTTGACCAGTCACCTGAACGCACTGAATAAAAGCCTGCAAGGCAAGGACCAGCTGATATCGGAAATGTATGCGCACTTGAAATCCTTTGCTGTGAAGCTAAGACTTTTTGAGAGACAAATCAGTGACCGCAATGCTGTGCACTTTCCTAGTTTGTCCGAAATCATCTCGCGTTTTTCAGACTCCAACATCCCTGGAAAAATTGATAAATATTCGACAGTGCTCACATCCTTAATCACAGAATTTAATCAGCGTTTTCAAGACTTTTCCGCTATTGATAGCGACATCAAACTGTTCTCAACCCCTTTCTCTGTTAATGTAGAAGGAAGTACAAGAGAATGTGCAGCTGGAACTCATAGAACTTCAGTGCGATGATTCTCTTCACAGCCGCCACCAGCTTATTCCCCTGTCCGAGTTTTACAAGAGTTTGAATAAGAGTTGAAGATAGAGCTAAATAATGATAATCATTATGAGGGTCAATCTCTATCTCTCAGTTTCTGGAGGCGTATGAAGTGCATGCAGAAAGAAGAACTGCTGTGCTCGAGTCCCTGGTGAGGCCTGACTTTGAGAGATGGCGGCGACTAAAGGAGAGGCGTAGGCGCTCTTTTGAAAGGAAGCTGTTGACCAGCATGGGAACAATCGTGGAAGAGCTAAAGAAAATAAGCAAACAACAAGAGCAAATTATTCACTTGCTACAAAACCAACCTCAATAACATGTCTTAAAGAAATAAACTTTTGTATTTTGACTTTCTCTAAAATGTCTATCACAAATGTATTCCTTCACAGGTTCTTTTTTGGTTGGAATTATTCCTGTGGTACACAACTTTTGAAGACAAAAACTATTGTCTTGTTTTATTCAAAAATTTGTTCAGGAGTATACAGTACTGATAAAAAAGTTCCGAAATGCTTATTTAAAACTGATATCTGAAATGCTTTTCATTTGCAGGAATTGGAGCCTCCTAAATTTGGATTTTAGAATGCCAAAGGCATGCTCAATGACAACACGAGCAGCATTGAGCTTCCTGTTAAAGCGCCTTTGCCTAGCTGTTAAATGGCCGTTGTCTCTATAAGGCCTCATAAGTCGAGGCAACAGAGGGTAGGCTGAATCCCCAATAATATGCATTCCCTGTGGAACAAGGGAATGAGGATCTTCTTCAAGAACACGTCCAACCTTTGTTAGGCGAAATGCTCGAGCATCATGCCAACTCCCAGGGTGACCCACACTGATGTGACAAAAGCGCCGCTGACTGTCACAAAACCCAGTTAAAATAACTGAATAGAACTGTTTCCTATTCAAGTATGCTAGGGGATTATCACAATGGGGTCTCATTATAGGAATGTGACACCCATCCACTGCACATACAGTGTTGGGGAAGCCTGCTGCGGCAAACTCTAGCCTAGATATCTGCAGCCTTTGGCCTGTAGGCCAGGAAATTTTGTGGGCCATGTGTGAATTAACAAGTTAACAAAACTCATGGAGATGTCTGGAAAGTGTGGATTTTGATGTATTGAATCTATCTGCCACCCCTCGATATGACTCCTGATTGGCCAGCTTCGTTGCAAGATGGCCACCACTCAAGAGTCTCTTCGGAAAATGGCTGCCGTTCTAGAGTCTCGTCACATCTCAGCTGATCGTCCAGGATCGACTTCAGGAGAAACCCCCCTGCAATCCCCCCACGCACCATCATGGACAGCACTGTGGCTGCAGTGGAGTCATTCTGGTTCCTGGGGACCACAATCTCTCAGGACCTGAAGTGGAACACTCACATTGACTAATGACCATTGTTAAAAAGGCCCAACAAAGGTTGTACTTCCTTCACCAGCTGAGGAAATTCAACCTGCCTCAGGAGATGCTGAAACAGTTCTACTCGGCTGTCATTGAGTCTGTCCTGTGCACTTCAATAACTATCTGGTTTGGTTCAGCTACAAAATCAGACATCAGAAGAATACAGAGAACAGTTCAGACTGCTGAAAGGATTATTGGTGCTCCCCTGCCCACCCTCCAAGAACTGTATACATCCAGAGTGAGAAAAAGGGCTCAGAAAATCACTTTGGATCCCTCACATCCAAGCCATCTCCTTTTTGAACTCTTGCCATCTGTTCGGCGTTACAGAGCACCGAAGACCAGGACAGCCAGGCACAAGAACAGTTTCTTTCCCCAGGCAATCTACCTCATGAACAGTTAATGTTCTCCCATTGTGCAATTAAAGTACAGTATGTGCAATAACCTTATACTTATTTATCACCCTAAACCCTAGTACATCCCTACAACTTATTTTATTTATTCTATTCCTATTCCATCTATAGCACACCTGTACATACAAGTTATTCTTTTTTTTTTGTGGTTTATATTTATGCATGTGAATTTTATTCACATCTCATTTTTATTATCTGTATGTTGTTGTTGTCTCCGTGTACTGGAAGCTTGTGACACTATAACAAATTCCTTGTATGTGCAAACATACTTGGCAATAAACCTCTTTCTGATTCTGATTAAACTCATCGGCCAGGTCCACCTGAGATCCCCACGAGCTCATTCTCCTCCGTGCCTCAGCAGCGGCGGGTCCT